TCACACCTGTGCTCCCCAGGCTCTGCGGAGGCCTGGTTTGCCATGCCTGCTCTGTGGATTACAAGAAGAGAGAGCGCCGCTGCCCCTTCTGTTCCCAAGAAGGAGAAGCACAGGTCCCCTGACAAAGACCCCTCCAGGACTGGCCAACCCACCCCACCCGCCTGGTCGGCTCCCTCCCTTCGGCCCTTCCCAGCCTTCTAGTCTGACCGGTCCTACCTTCTAGAAGCTGGTGATCTAAGGCGGATCTTGTGTGGACAGACTGTGGTGTGGAGAGCAGAAGAAGCCAGGCTGCCAGTCAGGAGACGGGTTCAAGCCCTACATCTACCCACAACGGGCTGGGCAACTTGGACAAAGCCTTCAGCTGTCTGGGCTTTTCCAGTAATGTGAGGGAGTCAGGTGCCGTCCTCTCTAAAGTCCCTTCAGGTTCAGAAAGTTCTTGAACAAAAATAAGCCCCAGTGGTCCCGCTGTTTCTCCCCTACACTCCTTTCTCACCCAGCTCACCCTTCTCGGTGCTCAGGAGAATCCTGTCTGGAGTCTGCTTCCAGATCTGCTTTGCCACGTTTCATTTTTAACAGCTTTCTCAAGATACTATTGCCACATAATACACTTCGCATAAATTTGATGAGCTTTGACTAACACACACCCTTGAAACTATCACCATTGTCAAAATAATAAACACATCCATCAGCCCCAAAGTTTCCTTGTGCCCTCTGTAATTTCCCCCATCCCCCTCCCCTCTCCGCACCCCCAAGCAACCACTTACCTGCTTTCTGTCACTAGAGACTAGTTGGCATTTTCTAGAAGTTTATATCAATGGAATCATATTGCATTTACTCTTTACTGTCTGCCTTCTTTCACTTGGCATAACCTGTTGTGGTTCATCCATGTTGCTTGTATATTAATAGTCCCTTTTTACTGCTGCGTAGTATTCCACAGCATGGATATAGCCCAATTTGTTTACTCATTTACCTGTTGCCTGACATTTCCAATTTAAGGCTATTACAGATAAGTTACTTGTATTCATCTGTGTAGAAATCTTTGGGTAGACATATGCCTTTATTTCTCTTGGGTAAATACCTAAGAATGAAATGGCCACATCATATTGTAGGTGTATTTTAACTTTTAAGAAACTGCTAAGAAATTGTGTATTGTATCCCCCACCAGCAGTGTGGGGGAGTTGCAGTTGCTCCCCAGGGCATCTGCTTTCATGGCAAGAGAGGAGGCACAGACATGAAGTTTGGGCTTCTCTATCCTTCCCTTTCAACTGCGATGGTGACTTGATTGGCCCAAGTTTTGAGTGCCTAGAGGGAGCGGCCAAGTCTAGGTGACTCTTTATTCAGTGCTCTCTCAGCCAGACTTTGAAAAAGATAGTTGATGAGGATTAGTGTAGCCCCATGGCACAAGATCATATCCCCCGACTGCCCAACAAGTCTTACATAAACTGTGTGTCATTCACTCAGCACCCAATTGTGGTACTTGTGAAAGTACTATTTCAGAAGAAGTGTGGGCCCCACTTGGCAACAAGGCCATGAGCTGCCCTCCCTGGGCTCCAGGGCAGACTTTGTGGCCCCAAACAGGCATGCATGCTGCCCCCATCTCCTCTGCCTCACATGGACTGCCAGAGCCTCCAGAGCAGTTGGGCAACACTGTGGCTCTGGCCAGAGCCTGTGGACCTTGTCTTGGGGTCAGGACCGCCCAGAGTTACATCCCATTACCATGGCATGGAGCAAGAGTTTTGCAACAGCAGCTCCTGCCCTGGAGAGCTGGTGAGAACTTCTCCTTAGCAAAGCCTGCAATGAGGTGGGGGCTGGGAATAGAGGTTGCTGGGGGTATAGCAGGGAGAGCTGGAGTTCCTGGAGCGATCAAAGTCATAGAATCACCCCTACCCTGAAGGGCAACAGTCCCTTCGTGGAGGTCAGACCTGCTTAGATTCTTTTATTAGGACAGGGTTCCCATTATAACAGAAGACATCATATTCTAGTAGGAACTCTAACCTGATGAACTAAAGTGGGAGAGGGGACCTAGCAGAAGCCCATGTTCAAAGAGGAAGCAAGATGCTCCCAGACAGGAACTCATCAGAAGGAAATTGTGGCCAGGAATGGGGGCGCTTGAATTTCTCCCCCTGATTGGGAGGGATGGAAGGGCAATGCTAAGGACCAGCCTCTAGCTCAATACTGCCTCCCAAAGAATCCCCACCAAGACCAATGAGGAGCACAAAAGTTCCGCAAGGACATTAGAAAAGCTCATTAGAGCTTGGGGACCCTCTGGCAAAGGGTTCCACAATGGTCACCATAGGCCATCCTGGAGAGTGGCACTGCAAGGGTGCCAGTCCTTCTGCAGTGGCTCCAGGGCACATGTCTAGCACAGCAGCCCCCAAAGGAGCATCTAGGAGATGCCCCCAGTGGACTCCCCCAAATTCCTGGGGAGCCCCTCACAGGAGAATGAAGCCCTGCATGAGCACACAGGGGCTGAACCAATGTAATGTGGGTTATAGCTACTGATGTGACTTCCTTTGTGCTACAGGCTGGGGTGACCTGGGAAATTGGGTGACATCATTATTTCTTTAAATTAGACATCACTTAGATGCTCTATTATACATCAGTTTCCCCAATTTGTTGATTCATTCAGGGCTCAACAAAATTGTATTAAGCACCTAGGATATGCCAAATACTGTGATTGGTTTGGCAATACAGAAATTATATATATATATATCACATATATATACATAAAATGTAATATATAAAATCCCTGCTTTTAAGAACATCACAATGGGGAGGGTGAAGCATCAAAACAGATGATTACAAAACCCTCTATTGGAGCCATGTTAGAGGTAAGTCAAGGGGTACAGAGAGCAGGGGGATGGCCCCCAGACCATGGAGGTGATGACCGGGCTGAATTTAAAAGCAAAAGGAAGCACTGGCTAGACCAAGAGGGTGAGGAAGAGCATTTCTGAAAAAAGGGAAATGCATGACAGGCCCGGGGGTGCGGGTGGGGGAGCCTGACTCTTAACTGGAGTTAAGGGTTCTCAGGCGTATATGGCCTGAAATGAGGCTGGAGACACGCACGGTCAGACGCAGGGGCGCCAGGTGCCTGGGACAGGAGCTGGACTCTACCTGAGGGGACCAGGGGCCTTCGAAGGGTCGTCAGAGGAAAAGCGCATGAACAGATTCACGCTCTGGGAGCCAAGGGGAGGATGGGTCGAGGGAGGAGATGAAGCAGAGATCATTTAAGAGAGGAAGAGGAAGAGAACAGCAGTCACACCAGCGGCACCAGGCACCACTCAAAGCGCCCATTAACAGGCTCACTTCGTCGTAGTGACAACACTATGCAATGTGCGCTCTCATGAGCCCCATTTTACAGCTGGTGAAACTGAGACCTAGCGAGATTATGTAACTTGCCCAAGGTCTACAGTCCAGCTCCTGAATCCACAGCTATCGCCTGACTATTGCCCTAGTTTGGTAGCTAATTGCCTAACATGGTCAGTGAAGGTGGTGAGGCGCGGATAACCAGGAGAGAGGCTAAGGAGATAGCCTCGGTGGAGACGAAGAGCTGGGGGAGGGGAGGGGTGCGCCCGTGTCCAGCGCGGGCAGAAGAACGGGTGAGAGGGCGCTCAGGCGGAGAGCACATGTGTCGGGAAGTTCCATGAGACTGGTTTTCAGCATGAGTTTGCAGCATCTGTGGGACCTCAGGGGAGATTTCAAGAGGTAATTGCACGTAAGAATTTGTACTTAGGAGAGAAGCTGAGAGAAGTTAGGGAACTAAAGGTAAGGAAGACACCAAAAGCTTTTGGGTGGTAACGGAACCCAAGGAAGCAGGTGGGCTGGCCTGGGGAGAGCAGGACCCCTAGGGACATCCATACTTGAGGAATGAACAGAAATAAAGCAATAGAACAAGACTAAGAGAAATAAGAAGAGAATGAGGTCAGTGGATTAAATGACAAGAGATCAAATACAATGGGCGTGAGCAATAATCATTTCACCACAAATAAAGTTACAAAGCACACAACAGGCTGGGCGAAAATATTTTAACGTAATTGACAAATAGAGATAGTATGGGTAGATAGGGTAACAGGCCCCTCAATAAACAAGATGGAAGAGTAAATTGGTAGTCTTTTTGAAGGGCAGTACAGCAGTACTTATGAAAATTTAAATATGCACAGATATGACCCAGAAAAATTACACTTAGGGCTCCTGACAACCTATATCCAAAGATGCTCTTAGCAAGACCTAAATTTTCATCTAAAAGGTATAAACCATGACCATCCTTACCACGGACTACTATGTCATCACTGAAAAAAGTAAGATGGACATATACGTACTGGTGTGGAATCAGTCCATGATATTTTGTTAAGGTGCAAACAATATAGCTACTTAAATATCACTTTTACTAAGTAAAGAAGGAAGGAACGTATGTTTGGATATACATGGGGAAAAGTCTGGAAAGATGTACACAAGATATGTGTGAGCAGAAGGATGGAAAAGAGCCTTTCAAGTTTTATTTTATGCGCTTTTTTATCACCTATATTCTTTACAATATGCATGCTTTATTTTTTTTAATAGCGCAGTTTTAAGACAAGGATTTGTTGGATTTAGCAATGAGAAGTCATTGGCAAAAGCTGTTTCAACGGAGCGATAGGAAGGAAACTAGTTGCAGGGAGCTGAGCAGTGAACAAGAGGAGGTGAAGTGGGGATAACAACTGTTCTCCGCTTTTTTCAAGAAGTTTGCCTGTGAAAAGAAGGGCATGGGGGAGTAGCAGCAAAAAGGGTCTTAGAACAGAGGGAGGGTGAGAAAGACAGCAAGTTCAGGGAAAGAGGCGGTTAAGGGGCTGGGAGGTCAGAGGCGTGTTCCTGAAGGATGTGCGAGGCAGCGGGTCCCACAGCCAAGGGCAGGAATCCACCAGAAGGAGAAAGAAAGACACTTCTCACGCTGACCCTAGAAGGGAGGAAGGAAGTGTTCCTGCAAGTGTTCAGGCAAATCTGTCAGCTGGGGGCTGGGGCTGCCTGCATTTTCCTTGTAAGGAAGGAGGTACAGCTTCAAAACATTCAGAGACAGAGATGGACTGGGCAAACCCCTGCCTTCAGACTGGCAGTGTTCTCCAGGAGACAGGTAGGCATGAAAACCCCCAGGGCTCATTACAGAATCGCCAGGTGGAACCTTGGCCCGGAGTCAGAGTCCCAGGACAGACTCTGTGGCTCCTCAGTGGGAACTCCTCCCCTGGTGGGCCTCCTGGATTTCCCCTTGGGCAGCCCTCAGTCGGAAGTTTCCCCATAAAGACTGCCTCACAGTTTTCCCGTCCAACAGCCCTGACTGCTACCAAGCCCTGAGTCACAGAGGAGGTATCAGCTGGCCACTCCAGTAACAACAGCAGCTGTAGCAGCAATAACAGGTAAGTGAGCTGCTGGGTCTTAGGGCTGCCAAGGACACATTTCTGATGGCAGGCAGTTGGAAACTTAAGTCTCCTCCTCTGAGTTCCCTGAGAACTGAGAGGATGAACTGCAGAACCTTGCCACTAAAGACAACTAAGTCTTCACCTAGACAGCACGGTACAAAAGAACTTTCTACAGTAATGGAAATGTTCTATATCTGCACTATCCAAAATGATACCCACTAGTCACATGCGGCTACTGAGCACTTGAAATGAGGCTGGTGAGACTAAGGAACTAAGCTTTTTATTTTATTTTATTAACTTAAATTTAGGTTGCAGCATGTAGCTGGCTAGTAGCTATCATATTGGACAGTACAGATCTAGAACAATCTCCTCATTGTCCAACAGACCACGTCAAGGCCTAGATTTAGTGACTCATACAAGCCCACCCTAACCATGAACAGCAGAGCCACGATTGGATACCTTTTCTTTATTCACCCCACCATCCACAGGCCAGTGGTGGGCTCAGTGGAAGTAAAATCAACCTAATGAAAAGCAAGTGGGCAGGTTGAGAAATGTCCAATCTGGCCTCTCCTTTCTACAGACCTTTCCTTTTCAGTTGTCTGAGGCAGAGAGATACCTAACAGAGCTCAGAGACCCGAGACTGAGATCCAGCCCCTTCTCAGCTGCGTCACTCTAGGTAAGTTGCTTAACTCCCAGGGCCTAGTTTCCTCATGCATAAAGTTCACCCTTCATGGAGTTGCTGTGAAGATTAATTGAGACAAATTCTGAAAAGCACTTACCCCAGAAGCTAGACTCTAACAGGGACTCAGCATCACAGCTAACAGGGCTATTATTACTCAGGTCAGAACAAATTAAGAGGTACATGGACGGCAGCTGCTTTCTCTTGCCTGGGGATGTAGTGGGAGAGACATGCTATTAGTTAATAAAGTATTTCAGTAATAATGATCAGGACAAATGCTAACAGGGTGCTTTCTATGTGTCTTAAGTGGTTTACTGATAATCCTTCATTTCATCCTCAGCACAACCCCATGAGTTAGATTCTATCACTGGCCTCATTTAAAGCTGAGTGAACTGAGACTGAGGGAGGAAAAGTGACTTGTCCAGAGTTGCTCAACTCATGGAGCTCTTCACTGCTGTTCTCATGTTCTCCATGAATAATGAGCCTCGCTCTGGTTTTAGCATCTTCTGACCAGAATAATTGCATTCCTCTCCAGTGCAGGAAAGATGGAGGTGACAAAAAACATTTGCTAAATGGTGAGACTCAAAGGTTCTTTCCTAGGGGTAGGCAGCTCAGGTGAGTTTGCCACAGGTTTTGAGCACACTGTGGCATGGGATGCACGGAGCAACAAGGTAAAGAGCAGTGGGTGGGGTTGAGGCATTGTTCGCTGGGATGAGAGCTTGGGAAGGAGCTGTGAATTAGTGTTCCCTGCTCTGCCTGTATTTATCCTTTGGATTGTGACCAATGGATAACATGTGACCATGTCAAACATGACAAAGTATATTCTTAGTGTCACTCAGCACTGTCTTCAAAACTGTGTTTGGACTTGGGTGGGATTTTAACTTTTACCAAAAGGCTTTCTTTCCAAACTGGATGGCCTTGGCTCCAAAGGTGGTAGGTACTGTATACCCAATCCCAAGCGTACAAGCCAAGGAAGAACAGCAGCACCCTAGGAGGGGCTCATGGTCAGAGCAGATGGCTGGGGAGTGAGGTGAAAGACTAGGAGAGGGGGTGGGGGTTTCTCAAAAGGATGTGGCATGGAGAAGGAATCTGTGAGGCTTTAAGGATTCCTGGGGTGGGTGGGGTGGAGGCCAGGGAGAAGAGCTACCACACTCACTGGAAGCTTGAGTCTACTGTTGTCTTAGGGAGCTCTTCCCCTTTGAGATGTGAGAGATGTTCAGGGGCAGTAGGTCAGGACAGTAAGCATGGAAAGGCCAAAGTGTCTGGAGTGTGGGGAGAGCCAGACACACCAGCTGAAAGAGCCAAGGGTAGCTGAGATTAGGGCAAAGGTAAGATAAATGGCTGTGGTCCCAATTCCTTTCTGTGGGCCTCAGTTTTGTCATCTGTGAAATGGGAAGATTGCCTATAAAATGCCATAGGTCCCTTCCCAGTATGAACTCTACCGGTTCATAAAATGACTGGTGATCAGAGAGCTGACCTCAGAATTAATTATTGAAGTTATCAAAAGCATCCAACACCCTCTGGGACTCCACCCCAGAATTGAGCAATCTAATCCACCGCTGACTTCCTCCAGTGTGTTCTCACCGACGCTGCCTCTCAGTCAGTCACACTGCCTCCTGGAGGTGTCCAGCAGGTGAAAAGCCCCAAATCCTGGTAAGTCTTGGAATACCCACCCCTCCCACCATCCAGAATGTCTGCTCTCTGTTCTCTTGACACCCAGCCTCCATTTATCCCAGGCCTCTGTCTCTACCCTTGGTGGACCTCAACTCTGTCTCTTCATTCTCTCTCGTTAGGCCTCCCCATCCCCAAAGGACAAGCCCCTGCCCCTCTTGCTTACACTTCTCCCCAACAACCGCTGAGGGCAACTTGCTGCCTACCCCTTCCCCTCCCTGCTCAGCCAGCTCTCCCTGCCTTGACTAGGATTGAAAGACTAGGATTGTCTGAGAAAGGACCAGGCACTGCTGAGTCCCTCTTCCCCTATATTAAATGCAAATATGTGTGGATTATATTTATAGAGAGAAAAATACTGTAATTGTATTAAAATAACTATTTTAATCTTTTGCTGCTGTTAAAAAGATTGCCTTCAATGTTTGGAATCTTGTAAATGTCCCCCATACATTCTATGGCATTTTCTCTTTTTTTTGTTGTTACTTTTTTTTATATTGAGGTATACACGATAAAAATGCACAAATCTTAGTGTACAGTTTGATGAATTTTGACATGTGTCTAACTCATGTAATCATCACCCAGATCAAGATAGCAAACATTCTCACTAATCATTTATCCCCTTCACCAGTTTCACCCATCCCCCCAACACCCCTCCCCTATGGTAGCCACCGGTCTCCTCTCTGTGTCTATGAGTCTATTTCTGTTTTGTTCACTGTTGTTTCTTGGATTCCACATATAAATGAAATCATATGATATTTATCTTTCTCTGTGTGGCTTATTTCACTTAGCATAATACTCTCTAGGTCCATTCATGTTGTTAAGATTCCATTCTTGTTTATGGCTGAATAATATTCCATTGTGTACATGGAAGCTCTTTCTTTATCCAGTCATCTATCAATGGACATTTGGGTTGTTTCTATATTTTGGCCATTGTAAATAATTCTGTGATAAACATAGGAATGCATATATCTTTTCAGATTAGTGATTTTGTTTTCTTTGGGTAAATTCCCAGAAGTGGAATTGCTGGGATATACTATATTTTTATTTCCAGTTCTTTGAAAATCCTCAATACTGTTTCCCATAGTGACTGTACAAATTTATATTCCCACCAACAGTGTTTGAGGGTTCCTTTTCTCCACGGCCTCGCCAATACTGTTGTTTCCTGTTTTGTTGATATTAGCCATTCTGACTGGTATGAGATAATATCTCATTGTGGTTTTGATTTGTATTTCCCTGATGACTACTGATGTTGAGCATCTTTTCATGTGCCTGTTGGCCATCTGTACATCTTTTTTGGTAAAATGTCTATTCAGGTCCTTTGCCCATTTTTAACTGGATCATTTGTTTTTCTGGTGTTGAGGTGTTTGTATTCCTTACATATTTTCGATATGAGCCCCTAATCAAATATATCACTTGCAAATGTATTCTCTCATGCAGTAGGTTGCCTTTTTGTTTTGTTGATGGTTTCCTTTGCTATGAAGAAGCTTTATAGTTTAATGTTAATGTAGTCTTACTTGTTTATTTTTGCTTTTGTTTCCCTTGTCTGAGGAGACATACGCAGAAAAAATTACTAATGCTGATGTTCAAGAGTTTACTGCCTAAGTTTTCTTCCAGGAGTTTCATGGTTCCAGGTCTTACATTTAGGTCTCTAATCCATTTTTGAATTTATTTTTGTTTATGGTGTAAGACCTATAGTAGTCTCATGAAATGAACTAGACCCATCCCATCCATGGAGTTTCTGAACGACTGTGAGTCATTAAAGCAACTGGCAGTTTCACTTGATGCAGAAATCTCCCAATTGGCCATCAGGAACATGACTGAGTGGCCAGTAGGGGCCAGTCGGTTCAAAGGCATTTGGTTTATCCTTCCTGCGAGGGCTGTTCCTTTGATTCTGGGCCTAAGGCACAGTGAAGAAAGCAATGTACAAAGCATCAAACAATGAGAGGAAACTATATACAGGTTGACTTGATGATATCTCAGAAAGTTAGCTTACAAATATATTTAATATATGAGATACGATTTTATTAAGAAGCAGGTCGAGAAACTGAAAATGGCACGCAGAGTGGAGCCATTCACACTTAGTTGGAATCCTGGCTGCATCATTAACAGGCTCTGTGACCACCAGCAGGTTTCTGAGCCTTGCTGGGCCTGTCTTCCCCCACAGGAGCTAATCGTATCTACTTATAATGATCAAGGGGGATCACCTACCTGTGAGGTACAAAGCAGATCTCACATATGTCATCTCCCTTTCTGCAGTTTCTACCTTTAACTTAGTTTATCTCTTCAAACATCCTCTAGAGATTTAAAAACAAACAAACAACACCAAAGCATTCTCCCCCAATGGCTGGAGGTCATTCCCCAGACTGGTTCTCTCTTCTGAGTTTTCTACCTTGTGTCTGACTTACCTGTTCTCCTTCTAGACCGTCAAGGGGCTCCTTTGTGCCTGGGGGTGGGAGCTTAGCCGTATCCCCCAGTACACGCCCCTCGACCCCGCCCCCACGGCATGCCTGAGCATTGGATCTTCCTGAACAAGCAGGTGCCTGTGAAACGTGGCTGCTGCTGCCTCTCGATAAGGCAGTTTCTGCAGCTGCCCCAGCCCTGCCTTCTCACAGCCAATGCTCATAACTGTGGAGGTGTCCCCTCCACGGTCACAAGCTCTCTGCATCTCTCTCAAACGTGCGTCTTCTCTGAGATCATTTGGTTCCTTAAGAGTGACTCTGATCCTGTGCTCCCAGAGGTGACCCACCCTTGACCTCATGACTTCACTGAACATAACCCTGGGCCTCTGAGCAAACTTGTTCTTCACTACTGGACAGCAGAGCCAATGACTTCTCACAGATCTACGGACAACATGGCTGAGCCAGCTGTATGGTCTGCCTCTCCCACTACCACTCTGTTCTCCTGGCCAGACAGGTCCCTACTCTCATATCACTTCTTTCTGGGTTCACACACTGACTAAATCTGCTCTATCTGTGGTCTCCATGTGCTTAGAAAGCAATTTATCTGACCTCCATCACTTAGGGGAGAAAGTAATACCTTCCCAGGAGGGTTAAGGCTAAGAATTTTATCACTCTTGGGGAAAAGGACATTGTTTTTCCAGTTTCTCTTAACCCCATTTAGCTTTCTTCTTTACTATACATTGACTGACAGTAACAGACTTTCTTCTGCTGAAGAGAAAAGTTTCCTGGACTTCTGCTGTTCATGTTGTTGCTTTGAGAGTTGTATTTGCTTTTTCTGTCTCAACCAATTTGCCTATTCTGGACATTTCATATAAGTGGGATTATACAGTAGGAAGCCCTTTATGCTTGACTTTTTTCACTTAGAATAGTGTTTTTGAGGTTCATCCATGTTATAGCATGTATCATTCCTTTTTGTGGTTGAATAATATTCCATTGTGTGTGTATACCATCATTTTTTTTATCCATTTATCCTGGCCGTTTGGGCTGGTTCCACTTCTTGGCTATTGTGCTGTCATGATCATGGACAAGTTTTTGTGTGGACATATGTTTCAGTTCTCTCGGGCGTATATCTAGGAGTGGAGTTGCTGAGTCATCCGGGAACTCTAGGTTCAACTAGTTTCAACTGCCAAATTGCTTTCCAAAGTAGCAGCGCCATTTTACATTCCCCCCAATAATGTATGATTACATACAATGTACATACATACAATATACATACAATCATCCTAATGAGTATGAAGTAATTCCAGAAACTTTTTACTTTCACTTTTTCTCTTTAACACTGGGTTCCATCTTGAGGTGGATTACAGACTTACATATGATCACAGAATGGTAATATCTTACTGTAGGAAATGGCACAATGGTGATATATTTTTGTATTCAAAAAGAAGCTAATTCAGTAACTGGCTTCCTTTAGTTTTCTGGGATAATATTTCAGAATGATTGCGGGGCCTCCCCCGGAAGCAGGCTCCCTGACAAAGGAGATAAGGGTGACAAGGGCTTTCTGAGTGGTAGTCCAGGAGTGCTGGGGAGTCAGGGTGGATGGACACATGCAATGGCAGGACAGGAAGCCCCCCCCACCAAGACTGAAAAGCCACCACAGCAGGGAGAGTGTGTCTGCGACTGTCTTCTCTGCTTGCTGCTGCCCCCCATCCTTGTGCTGGGAGCATCCTGGCTTTCTCTGACCCCTGCATGGCAGAATATAGCTTCCCAGAGCCTTCAAGATAATCTGTTACATTCCCACTTACTTGAAGAATCAGTCAGCCACCTGCTTGTGATTATTTTTTAAACCACTGTGTTGCTTATGATTTTTAATGTATTTTTTCAAACTACTCAAATATTCCCAGAGCATCCCTCCTGCATTCCAAAAGAGAAACACTGCCCTTCACTAACAGACTAAACTTTCTTCTAGTGTCATCTCCTGAAACTCTATTCTGCTATCACTAGACCTGTTTTCTCAGAACACTTCTTTTAAAGTAACTTTCAGAAAGTTTGACAAAGGGATTTCTCTCTCAGCCTTATAGTCAAATCTTGATCTTTTTCTAGGGGTCCAAACTAACTGGATTGCCTGCTTAATCCCCAGACTGAGAAATGAAATGGCACCTTGGTTTCTGGCGTTAAATTCAGCCTCTACAGTCAGAGGTGCTCACCACTGAGGGATCTAAGACAACATGTTCTGTAGGGACTATCCAAAGGGATGTTTCAACAATGTTTTGGGTGATAGTGATGTCATGAAATGTGCTAAGCACTTCTCTCTGACTTTGAAGGGAGCTATACTCTTTTGTGAATTACACCATTTATCAAAAATGTCTCATAACCTTAGAGCCCCCACTATTTCCTGAAGTGAAAGTTGCTTGCATGCAATATACAAGCCAAGGCAAAGAATTCTATCTGAGGTTCATGGGCAGACAAGCTAGAATCTGGGGAGCTGTACCGTGCAATAAATTTCATGTCTCTTCTCTAGGCCAGAATTTAAGTCTATCTCAAATATGGAAGGATTTAACTGGGAGAATTACAGCTTTGAAGATCTCTTCGGTGACGATTTTGATAATTACACCTATGAAACTGAATTGCCCGTTATTCTACCAGATGCTACTCCATGCCGGCCAGAATCTATGGAATTCAATAAATATGCAGTAGTTGCCATCTATTCCCTGGTCTTCTTGCTGAGCCTGCTGGGAAACTCCCTGGTGATGCTGGTCGTCTTATACAGCCGGGTCAGCCGTTCTGTCACCGATGTCTACCTGTTGAACCTGGCCATAGCCGACCTGCTCTTTGCCCTGACCCTGCCTATCTGGGCTGCCTCTAAGGCGAAGGGCTGGACCTTCGGCACACTCCTGTGCAAGGTGGTTTCACTCCTGAAGGAAATCAACTTCTACAGCAGCATCCTGCTGCTGGCCTGCATCAGCATAGACCGCTACCTGGCCATTGTCCATGCCACACGCACATTGACCCAGAAGCGACACTGGGTCAAGTTCATATGCTTAGGCATCTGGGTCCTGTCCCTGATCCTGTCCCTGCCAATCTTACTCTTCCGCAAGGCCATCTACCCACCCTATTCCAGCCCAGTCTGCTATGAGGACATGGGTGCCAATACAACAAAATGGCGGATGGTGATGCGGGTCCTGCCCCAGACCTTCGGCTTCCTCCTGCCACTGCTGGTCATGCTCTTCTGCTATGGACTCACCCTGCGCACGCTGTTTGAGGCCCACATGGGGCAGAAGCACCGGGCCATGCGGGTCATCTTTGCTGTTGTGCTCGTCTTCCTGCTCTGCTGGCTGCCCTACAACCTGGTCCTGGTCGCAGACACCCTCATGAGGATCCGGGTGATCAAGGAGACCTGCGAGCGCCGCAATGACATTGGCCGGGCCCTGGACGCCACCGAGATTCTGGGGTTCTTCCACAGCTGCCTCAACCCCCTCATTTATGCCTTCATTGGCCAGAAGTTTCGCCATGGACTCCTTAAGATCATGGCCATCCATGGCCTGGTCAGCAAGGAGTACTTGGCCAAGGACAGCAGGCCTTCCTTTATTGGCTCTTCTTCAGGGAACACTTCTACTACAATCTGAGCCCCCACCCCTGTTGCAGCCTCTCAGGGCTCCTCCTGTCCCCCCAGCATCCCATTCCAAGCCTTACATCCACTGGTTGCTCCCAGTCTGTGTCAAGGCCACGCCTCATTGGGGTTACAGGAATTGCTGGGGCCACATCCTTCCTAGGTCCCCACTGTGGGGTTTGGGAAGCCTGCCCTGACGTCCTACCCCTTACCGTAATTGCTATGTCAACTGCTGGCGCTCTGTCCATCCTACCACTGAGCCCATAGCACTCAGTTTCCTGGACATCTGAAAGGCATCCTTGGAAGTGACTGCAGAAAGCTCTCACCACTGGGAGCCGTCAGTGGCACACGTTCATCGGTTCTGCAACTCTCCCTTTCCTTGCTTGCCAGCAAAGTCCACCTCCCTAGAGAGAGACTGAAGGTGACAGACACTTTCTAAGACTTGCTGAAGCTAGGAGTGGGCGCATCATCCACTTCTGACTAATAAGACTTAAGGGCAATAGTGTGCTGGTATGCCACTCTCCGGGGAGAAGAGCCCTGATTTGTAACGTTTACCAAGTGCCCTGGTGTAAACACTCCCTCTATGATTTCAAGGGTGGCAGTGTTTAGCAACCAGCTCACAAATTCTAGAAAATGTACTAATCTGCTTTCACAAGCAAGTACAAGGTGGCTTTAGCATACCATTGCTTAAGAGGAAGTCTGCTAGGGCCAGGGGACTCCTGGGAAATATTCCTGATTAAAAAAGAGAGAGATACACATACATCCTTTCTTCTTGCCTTTGAATATGGTCATAGGACATGATGTGTGGAGCTGAGGCAGACACTTTGTGACAATGAGGCAAAAAGTATGCCCAACACACTTAGGCTGATGGAGCCAAAGGATAAGAAGAACCTGAGCATAAAGAGCCCAGAAATAAACCTAAGCGTAAATGGTCAAATGACTTTCAACAAAGGTGCAGACTATTCAATGGGGAAAGGAAAGTCCTTCAACAAATGGTGCTGGGAAAACTAGTTATCTACATGCCCAAGAAGGGAATTGGTCCTTCCCTTATACATATACAAAAGTTAACTCAAAATGGATCAAAGACCTAAACTTAGGAGCTAAAACCATACAGCTCTTAGAAGAAAACAGACAAAAAGCTTCATGATATTGGATTTGGCCATAATTTCTTACATGTGATCTAGAAGCAGAGGCAAGAAAAGAAAAAAATAGATGAACTGGACTTCATTAATGTTAAATACTTTTGTACATCAATGGACACTATCAGCAGAGAGAAGAGGCGAACCACAGAATAGGAGAAAATATTTGCAAATCATATATCTTATAAGGGGTTAATATCTGGAATATAAAAAAAATTCCTACAACTCAACAGAAAAAAAAAAAAGATACACATACATCCTTTCTTCTTGACTTTGAATATGGTCATAGAACGTGATGTGTGGAGCTGAGGCAGACACTTTGTGACAATGAGGCAAAAAGTGTGCCCAACACACTTAGGCTGATGGAGCCAAAGGATAAGAAGAACCTGAGAATAAAAAGCCCAGAAATAAACCTAAACGTAAATGGTCAAATGACTTTCAACAAAGGTGCAGACTATTCAATGGGGAAAGGATAGTCCTAATTCAAAAGTGGGCAAAAGATCTGGAGAAGAGACCTTTCTCTACAGGACATCCCATCACTCTTAATTTGGGAAATGCAAATCAAAACCAAAATAAAGAACCACTTCATACCCATTAGGGTGACTTATCAAAGTTAAAAAAAGCAGAAAATAACAAGTGTTTGTGATGATATTGAAGAATTGGAACCTTTGTGCAATACCAGTGAGAATGTAAGATAGTACACCACTGCAGAAAATAGTATGACAGATCCTCAAAAAGTTAAGTATGGAATTACCATGTGATCCAGCAATTCTGCTCCCAGGTGTATACCCAAAAGAACTGAAAGCAGAGACCCAAACAGATATTTGTACACTAATGTTCATAGCAGCATTATTTACAATAGTCAAACATGGAAATGATCCAAATGTCCACCAAGGGATGATGGATATACAAAATGTGGTATATATGTATAATGTAGTATTATTCAATCTTCAAAAGGAATGAAATTCTGACACATGCTATAACATGAATGAACCTCGAAACCATTATGCTAAGTGAAATAAGCCAGCCACAAATATTGTATGATTCTGCTTATATGAGGTGCTTAGAATAGTCAAATTCCTAGAGACAGAAAGGGAAATGGTGGTTACCAGAAGTTGCAGGTAGGGGAAAATCGGGAGTTATTTTTTAATGAGTACAGAAGTCAGGGATGATGAAAAGGTTCCAGACATGGGTAGTTGCTATAGATGTACAACAGTGTGAATATACTTAATGCCACTGAAACTGTACACTTAAAAATGACTAAAATGGTAACTTTTATACTATGTATATTGTACCACAATTAGAAAGAAAAAACCTAGCTCCTAAAAGACAAACTTTAACCATTGAACCAATCCTCAAACTACCTGCCTATAATTTTTTGTTAAATGAGATAATTAAATGTCTTTTTTTGCATAAATCACTTTTAGTTGGGTATTTCATTACTTGCAACAGAAAACATCCAAACTGCTACAGAAAAGCTAGTCAGGGATGAGCAGAAGGCCTGAATTGGGGTCTTTACGATAAATAAATCCCTTTGCTGTTTATTGGATACACAGAAAGACGGATTGAGAAGAGGCTATGCTTTCTACCTCCTTCATGCCCAGCCCAAGCCTCCCACTGCTGAACATGTATTATGGAAGAAAATGTGTCCCGGGGTCATCTCATGCTTCTAGTGTTCTTGGTGTCAAAGGTGTGACTTGGAAGGATCAAGTATGTCCACCAGATCAGCTGGGGAGCGTAACAGGAAGTCAGTTCTCCTGAGCTCAACCAGCAACTCCCATTGTGAGTCTTCCTTCACTCCCTCCTCTCTCCCACCCAAAACACACCCACACCCACACACGCTCACATACATGCATCATCAGGGTTTGATGAAAGGGCACTCCTACAGAATGGGGAAGTGATTTTGAATATGTCACAGGTTTGACTCATTCATCCCGCAGTATTCATTGAGTGCCTTTGAGATGTAGCAGCAATCAACCCAACAGAGCCTGACCCTGGCAGAGCTCTTGTTCATCGGCTTGTTTCCGAAGGGGCTCTGACAGGAGGGGCCCTGGTTCTGAGCAGCCCACTGAGGAAGTAAAAGAAGAAAGAGGAACTGAACTTCACAGTCACCAAACGTTTACCAGGTTCCAATCCCCTTCCTGTTAACAACTATCTGACCACTGAGTCAAGGAGAGTGGCTATGAAAAGAGGGCTCTCCAGATAGGCAGGAGCAAGCCTCAGAGCTCCAGCGCTCAGGGGCAGGTAACCATTACTCATCTTATGAAAGCACTTGGCCTTCTGCAGTCAATGAACAGCACCCCCTTTTTCTGAGCTCATTCTGTGCCAGGCACTGTGCTGAATTCAAGACCAAGCATGACTTAGCTGCTCTGGCCAAGCCTTCAGAACAGTTTCTGATTTAGCAGGAGGGAAAAGCAGGGGAATGAGTGTTTACGCGAGGGAACACCTGTGTTGCCAGAGGAACCAGGGTTGTTTGGACTGGGCAAGGCTGACAGGCCAGATGGCTCCCTGCAATGGCTGTCAGTGGGAGGAGGCCAAGTGGAGTTCCACTCTAGCTCAGGGACTCTGCTCTTTCCTCCTCGAGCAAGGGCTAGAAGAAACTTGTTTCTCTGAGTAAAGTAAGAGGATAAAATAAGCCCAGAAGCAAAGAGGCAGAGACTGAATTGCACTTAGGTAAACTCTGTTAATATTTATCCCTGCCTCTTCTCTCTGTTTCTGTCTTCCCCCACCCCTCCTCTCATAAAGTCAATCTTGGCACAAATAAGCTACCAACCAAGCCATCACTAGGACAGGGCAAAGCCGGGGCCTGCCTTTCAGTTGTTTTCTTTCTTCTCTCCCTTGTTTCCAGGTCTGTGTCCCAGGGCAGAGCACCTTTTTGCCTAGATCTGCCTGCTGAGTCTGAGCTGGCCCCTCTTGCTTCCAGAGACATACTCCGCCACTTACACTAACACCATCTCTTTTTTTTCTCCCCAAGTTTGGGATGTCTCCTTCCACCAGAGCCCCTCCCCAGTCTCTGCAGGATGGGCTTTGTTCATTAAATCAAGACAGCCTGGGTGATACGAAGAAGTAGCCCCCATTTGCACATCACACAGAAACTCATCGCATGGAGAACCACACTGCCATGCAATGGCAGAGCCAGAACAGACCTAGAGATCCCCTGAGTCAACCCTTCCAGTACATGAATGAGGAAACTGAGGCCCCAGCAAAGCAACTTGACCAAGATATCATGGCTGTATAATAGCAGAGCTGGAACACAAATCCCTAGTTTAGTTTGTTTTTTTCAGATGTTTTTTCTTTTCTAATGGTGACATTGCAGGCACCTTACAAACACAAGGAAAAATATATTTACGAACTTCTCAGAGCATTCCTCTCACACAGGTAGGGCCACTCTACTTCTTCAGTGCCTAGACTCCCCCGTGCCTGGCGCTGGGCATCTCAGTCATCTGATAGAGGTGGGGTTCACTGAGGCTCTGGGGCATAGGTGTGGGAGCAGGTGGGGCTACCTGGTTCTGTGCTAGCAGGCAGGACAGTTATAGAGACAATCAGAGCCCAACAAGGAGTTCAAAGACAGACAAAACCAAACCCACTATCGAGAACATATGCTCTATCACCCAAGGTTCAATTAGAGAAGCAGGACCACTCAGAGGAGGACTTTGTCCCAGGGATTTGACTGTATAACTTGCAGGAGCTGGTAAAACAGTCTAGGTCAGGCTGTTGTCCTTGCTTCTGGTGCTGGGACCTGAAAGTGGCAGGACAGACAGCCAAGAAGGAAAGAATAATGAGGACAAGCTGGAATCTGGGAGGACAAATTGCAACCTGCGCTGGTCTCTCACAGCCTCCAAGTACAGTAAGTGGATGACCTGTTGGAGAAACTGACCCCCTGCATCACAAAGGTGAGCCCTTGCGTGGCTCAGGAGCAGAAGGGACTGCACACCCAGCTGCTGCCCATGGCAACGAGAGGTACCAGCTGATCATGGACAGCATGTAACCGCATCAGGGGCTTTGCACTGACCTTCTAGAGCATAAAAACATGCAACTTCTGCTCCACTGCTGACTTGCAAAGCTCACACGAAAATCTCTTCTAGCTGATGCTACCCTGAACTATTCAAGGGAGGGAACTGGGGGAAGCATAGTGCCAGCTTAACTAAATTGACTCCGTGCAAATCTTTCACACAAACACAAGGTTCAGACTCTAAGAAAAGGAACGGTTACCACCAAAGTTTGGGTAATGTTTATTTAACATTTCAATCCATCAGGGAGGAGACCTCAGGGCTTTTGAGGGTGCCGACACTATTCTCTTTCTTTTCACAGATCACAGATACCTGGGATTTGTTATATTATTATTATTTAAACTATAAGCATGAGTTTTCTACAACCTGTAGTATGTGTACTGTTCACAATAAAAATGCTTTTAATCACCAAAATAAAGGAAAAAATATAAAGTTATCAGAAGAACAAAGGGACAACTTGGGTCATTCTGAGGTGCCACTGCAGAGAGCCAAGTGGAGGCTTCTACATCCTATAGTTTTGGGATCAAATCCACCAGATTAAAAGACAATATTATCACCCACTACAAGGAGGAGAGTAAATAGGTACAGCCTTTAGAGAAGGCAATTTGATCATATGTATAGTACATATAGCCTCCGATCCAGGAATTACAGTTCTAGGAATCTACCTTATAGAAATGCCCACATTTCTATAGACAAATGTGACAAATGTAAACAGGATGTTCATCACAGCATTATTTATTAAATTAAAACATAGAAACAACCTTGATGTTCCTCAATATGAAAATGGTTAGATAAACCATGAAGGTGAGTCCACCGCATGGAATACATTGAATGTGGTGGTTTAAACACAAAGTTTAAAACCATAATGCTAAGTGAAGGAGCCAGAATAGGAGACCACATATTGTATGATTCCACTGACATAAAATATCCAGAAAAGGCAAATATGTAGAGACAGAAAGCAGATGAATGGTTGCCTAAGGCTGTGGATGGGAGCAAGGATTACAAACAGGCATGAAGTTCTTCTCTAAGAGTGATGGAAATATTCTAAATCTGGATTGTACAACTCTGTAAATTTACTAAAAAAATCATTGGATTGCATACTTATAGCAAGTGAATGATAGAGTTGGTAAAATTCAGTAAAATTGTGTAGAGAAAGAATCCTAAAAAAGTAGTGAGGTAGTTATACAAATGGACATGGAAAGATTTTCAAGAAATAATGCTGAAAGAAGGAAAGTGGAGCAGCAAGTGTAGTCAGATGGCTTATCCATTTGTGTAAAAAACATTAGGATATATATGGGCCAATAAATGTTCAGAAAAATATCTGGGAGGATATACACCAAGCTATTAAAAGGGTGTTATTGTCAAAGAGAATTGGAGGGTGGAGTCATAGTCATAATTAGTTTGTACAGTTTTGCATTGTTACCGTTTATTGGGTTGGGTTGGGTTGGGTTGGGATTGTTCTCGCTTTGTGGATACGTCCATCTCTATGCCTTTGTATTTTCTCATTGAATAGTATTACTCTTTTTTTTTTTTTTATTTCATTTCCCGGTAAACTTGCCTTTGAAAAACATCACCTTAGTCTCAAATGAGTTAAGCACTAGTGGCAAAATGAAGTAGGAAGCATTAAAACCCCAGGAGCAGTGTTTCTAAAAGTTCTGCAAGTTTACCATGGGCTTCTTGCTTAAAATGCAGCTTTACAACAACTCCTGAATGGATCAGGGTCCTGGCCAGAACCAGATACCATACCAGAGAGTTCAGAAAAATATCTGGGAGGATATACACCAAGCTATTAAAAGGGTGTTATTGTCAAAGAGAATTGGAGGGTGGAGTCATAGTCATAATTAGTTTGTACAGTTTTGCATTGTTACCGTTTATTGGGTTGGGTTGGGTTGGGTTGGGATTGTTCTCGCTTTGTGGATACGTCCATCTCTATGCCTTTGTATTTTCTCATTGAATAGTATTACTCTTTTTTTTTTTTTTATTTCATTTCCCGGTAAACTTGCCTTTGAAAAACATCACCTTAGTCTCAAATGAGTTAAGCACTAGTGGCAAAATGAAGTAGGAAGCATTAAAACCCCAGGAGCAGTGTTTCTAAAAGTTCTGCAAGTTTACCATGGGCTTCTTGCTTAAAATGCAGCTTTACAACAACTCCTGAATGGATCAGGGTCCTGGCCAGAACCAGATACCATACCAGAGCTGGGCAAGGAGAGAGTTTTAACTAAATCATGGGAACGTTAATAGAGACTTTGAACAAAAGTATGGGAAGATTGGGGAATGTAACAAGAATGGTGCAGTACCCCAAGGCCAGTGTTCATTGGGAATTAGAATTGTTTGGGAGAGTGATTCCTTCCCTTACAGGACTGTATCCCACTTCCTCTGTCTGTCCATGCATACTTCCAATCTCCAAGACACCCCCCCAATTCTTGCTGACCTCAGCCGAAAGTTAAGTGGCCTTGCACCGGCGCTTCCTCCTCACCATTCCACCTGCCCAAGTGGAACAGAGGTGGGGGTGGGGAGGGGGTGTGGGAAAGAGCAGAGATCACTGACCCAAAGCAAGGCCCCTCCCCCAGCAGCTTCAGAGACAGGCGCAAGTCACCTTCCGGGAGAAAACAGACACACCACTGATTTCCCAACAGCCTTGCAAGTCTGATGTCAGAGATGTTCCCTTGGCCAGAAACAGGGTCAACTTCCTATCAAAGCTCTCTCTGCACCAATGACCCTGGTTAGGTCAAATTCTTGATTTCCCACAAGCTGGTCCCTTGTTTCTTCCTTATTCCATTAGGGTAATAATACCAGCTAGCATTTCTAGAGGCTTTCTTGGATGTCCAGCATTATGCTAAGCGATTTACTAAACTAGACTGCACAGCTGGCTATGGCACTTTGGACATCTCTGCTGCCCCCTGCTTAACTCCAAGCTTAACCAAGGGTCCAGCTCAACTGCCAAAAATGCATTAGCATGACTCCCAGGGTGCTTCTGAAAGGCTCAGGGGTCTCAATGTCATAGGAGCTCCCAGGGAACAGGTTCAGAGCTGCCCAAAACCACTCTGTTTCTGGGAAGATTATGATAATTCAGATCAGGAAATCTACATAGAATAAGTGTGTTATTCACATCGTGTTCTATACAAACCCCTTGGGCTGTGCAATGTCAAACCTGCCCACCTGTGAGTGGTGGCCCTGAAGTGCTTTACCTAAACCTAGACTTGTCTGGTGGAAAGGAGTTTAAAAGATCCACATCTAGAATGGATAAAGATGTGGTACATATACACAATGAAATATTATTCATCCATAAAAAGAAATGAAACCCTGCCATTTGCAACAACATGGATGGATCTAGAGGTGTTATGCTCAGTGAAATAAGCCAGAAATGATTTCACTTATTTGTGGAATAAAAAAACAAAGCAAAACTGAAGGAACAAAATAGCAATAGACTCACAGAAGTGAGTGATTACCATGGGGGAGGAGTGGTTGAGGGGGATAAAAGGGTACAAAAATTCTCAATTATAAGTTGGTCACAGGGATAGTAGCACAGCATGGAGAATATATTCAATGATTCTGTAACCTCTTTCTGTGTTGACAGATAGTAACCACACTAGAGGGGGTGAGGATTTAATAATATGGGTAACTGTTGAACCACTGTGTTTTATATTTGAAACCAATATAAGATTGCATATCAATGATACTTCAATAAAAAAAATTTGAAACCAATATAACATTGCATATCAATGATACTTCAATTTTAAAAAGAAGTCTACATTCAGACTGACCTTCCCTTTCCTTTTGACCGGTGAACACCTTGAGGCCCAGAACAGTTAGACCCTTGCCTAATATCTGGAACTACGAGTGACAGAAATAGTGCTGGACCCTGATCAGCAAGTTTCCCATTCATTACTCTCCTCACTATACCAGAAAGCCTTCTCCCAAGTTACTGGGGAGCCTAATTCCCGTAGGACTGACAGTTGGACTCATAAGATTATGCCCATGACTTTTTTCTTCCAGATAGATAAAGATTCCAGGGGAAAATCTTATCTATCTTCCAGATAGATCAATAAAGATTCCAGGGGAAAGAAAATCCAAAAAATAAGAGACTCAGAGAGCAGTCCAAAAATTACTCTTTCATTTATTCACTTATTCCCATCCATCATGCAAAGTAGGTAAACACTTGGAACTGGTTTAGTGGCAAAGATCCCTGTGTGCATGTACCAACTCTAGTTAAACTCTTGTGCCTAAGTTTCTTCCTGTATAAAATAAGTTAATTACAAGATCAGCCTCAGAAGAGAATTTTAAGGCTTAGATTAGTTAACACATAAAGAACTTAGCTCAGTAACAGAACATGGTAAGTTCTCAATAAATGTTAGCTGGTAGTATTTATTTAAATCTTTAATTTTGTCCAACCTCATGGATATAGTAATTTGGGCTAAACTTTATGCATAGCAATTTTGACATAAAGTTCAACTGAGTTCCTAGCTATAGTGTTAATACAGAATATACACAGTTGCCTCCACTTGCCTGTCATAAAAAGGTGGTGGTGATGTTTTTAAGATCTGTTCTGCCTTTAAAATTTGATTACTCACTTATTTACACCAGCTAGTAAGTGAGATTAGGTGGCTTGCATCTAGGAAGTCACAGCCCTATAAACCAATCTCAAATTATGCAGCTTCCTGAGGGCTGGTTCTCATAAGACTCTGATGAGCAAAAAGGAACATGCGATAGTTGGAATAAGCCAGTGGGGGGTTTTCTCTCTTCCCATCATATACCTGAATCTTGTCCCCCAAAAATACCTCCATGTGGTAGACAGAGACTAATAGGCTATTCCATTCATTTCAGACATGACTCTTTCCCTGGCTCTAGAGAAAAAGTGAATGCCTTAGTGTCTACCCCAAGATCTTATGGCCTAATGGAGGGACAGACCAAAAAAAAATCAAGTAACCCAACCCAAATGTGATAAGCACTAGAGTCAAGATGTGCAATGGTTTTGTGGGAGCCCCTGGAGGAAGTTATAACTCAGTGTGGGGAGGCTTTCAGGAAGATCCAACTCCTAAGGGATGAATAGAATTTAACCAGATGGAGGCGTGAGGATGGGCAGTTAAATGGAATAACATACACAAAAGCTCTGAGAGTTCAGAGACTTCTCTGAAGGGGTCATCCAGGCCTCCATGCACCAAACTGTGTGTGTTCTACCTGAAAGTGCCAAAACTGGGCCAACCAAAGTTATTTCTTTCAAAG